ACACACACACACACACACACACACACACACACACACACACACACACAGAGTGAGTGTATCAGGGGTTATCTGTGCTCTAACTAGGTGTTGTCACACACTCGCGCGTACTCTGGCGGTGCCGGGCACAAGTAGATCGGGGCTCTGCACGCTCTAACTAGGTGTAAATACAATAACAAGCCTGTAATTAAGTGAGCATGATGAAGTTAATGGAGATCGGCCATTCCGTCGGCCGCCTCCATGAATATTCTATTAGGCTGGTGGCGACGGGCAGCTGGAATAGCAGTTAATTTAATCACCACTCGGAGCACAGGGAAACTTCTTTGTGTGAGTGTAATTGCACAGAATGAATAATTGATTTGACAATCGCACCCGTGGATTTTGCCACCCCGCTTTTGTATCGCCGGAGAAAGGAATGGGGAGGGTGGAAGATGGAGAGAGTGAGAGGGGGAAGAAGATGGAGGAGGGAGAGGAGGAAAAGAGGAGGAGAGAGAGAAGATAGTGAGCGAGAGGAAGAGGAGTGGGAGGGTAGAAGAGGACCGAACGCAGAGTGCTGAGAGGTGGCAGGGAAGCTGTCGGTAAATGGATCATTAGAAAAGCGCAGCTCAAGGACAATTTATATTTTATCAATGCGGCAAAATTACATTATTGCTCACACACGCAATCATACTGCCCACACTCAAGATTGAGACCTGGAGGGGGGGGGGGGGGGGGGGGGGGGGGGGAGGAAAAAGAAGGGAAAGAGAGGGGGAGGGAGGGAGGGAGAGATAAAAAAAGATGGAGCAGGGGAGACAGAGAGAAGAAAAGTGACATGAAATGATTTGAAAGTCATTGATACGGGATGTTCCCAGCGAAAGAACGGACAGCATGTTTGTTTTTTCATAGTGTGTGTGTGCGCGCACGCCTCTGTGTGTGTGTATAATGTATTAGAGATCTCCTGCAGCGGTTGAAATTACCTCCATGTTTTACTCAGTTGCAGCAATCAGGCACAAAAATGCAATATACATGTAGATAAGACGAAGGCAGGCGAATGTGCACACATAAAAACTCTGGAGCACTGCAACACACACACACACACACACACACACACACACACACACACACACACACACACACACACACACACACATCAAATTACATCCAGCGTTGATTCAGAGCTCTTTTATGTAAAGCTATTTCTATACAACGTGCTTGTAAACTATGTGTACAATACTAATATTTCCCGGAGTCAAGTAAACAAAAGATAAGCAAACATTAAAGCACTTGACACACATACGCAGACCTAAAGAGCCACACACACACTAGTGATATACGAGATCTCATCAGGCTTCGACTACATAGACAGTACTTGTTAATACATTCAATTCATTGCTGGTTTAAAATAAGAAGTGTAGTTTATACTTTGGACTTATTTATTCCGTTGACCAATCGTCACTGAAGACCAGAATCAACTGTTTGTGATCTTAAGCAAAGTTGCATTTGAAACTTCTGATTCCTTCTAACCAGCTCTTCTAGTAGCACATGAAGGTTGAATGTGTTGCTGAATCTCTTCAGGTGTACAGTACATGCACACACCTCACAGGGAGAACACAACAGTAGAGTAGGGTGTATAGGATTGTACGTCTGCTCCCTGTAATCTGAGCAGTGTGGCCCCTGGGTGTGTAATGCAGTAATGTGGGGTATTACTGCCCCGGGACTGAGGGATAACGCCGTAAACCTATATTTTATAGCAGCATGATTGTGTGTGTGTGTGTGTGTGTGTCTCCATGCATCCTTCAGCATTATAAGGAAAGCAGCGTGTGTTGGATATTAATCATCTGGTGGAGACACTGGTTTGTCAGTGTTGCCGGATGAGATTAACCGATATTGTCACACACACACACGTTGCAAAACTTTATCGACAACCCAGTGACCCACAGATTTGCCATGAATACAACCTCCTGGCTGGATAACAGACGTCCATGCCGGGTATTCTGGGTACTACAAGTAGAGCTTGTGGTGGCCGTCACTGTGATACCAAGTCAGTGGAAATCTGTTGTGAATGTGAACTCTGCAGAGTGCTGGGCGGTGCCGGGTACTGGGTGTTTCAGCCGCGTGTTCTGTCTCTCAAACGGATGTTTTTTGGGGACGATGTGGGAAAAGAGGAACGCAGTTGCTTCTCGTCTGACAGAGTCGGAAACAAGTAAACACGATGGCGTCTGGACGTGGTGTAGTGGGTAAACAACCCACAGCTGGTGGGCGAACAGGTGAGTCCTGGGTGACCCCATTGCGGTCCATAAAGACACTTTTCCTCCCAATAAATTGTTTACAGAACGTCTAAACTGTTTGTAAGCTTCGGTAAACTGTACAGGTTTCAGCATGTGTCAACGGGTGAGACTCTTCAGTAATCTTTAATAGATAGTCCTGAGGCCTGATGACATTGTAAATATATAAGAAATACGTGCGACAGTGTGCCCGGGGGTTTCCACTGCAACCTGTAACAGCGTGTCGTAAATAGACATTACCTTATTTTGGGGGAACCACCGGTCTACAGCCACGGTTAACACTCGAGCATTGGAAGTGTGTCTGATCTTGAAATAGTAAGTGGACAGACAGCATGTGTGGAAATGTCTGACTCCTGGTGAAAGGCACTGATCTGGTGTCAGAGGACACACAAAATGCGTGCGGCCGTCACGAGACGAGCTGCTGAACTGCTCCACAAACTAAGAACACTGCAAAGCACAGGGACATGAAGGACGGGGGAGGCCAAACCATTGATTGGCGATTATTTCTTACTTGTGGGCAAAGACAGAAATAAAACAAAGCAAAAATTGAGGCTATAATCATGTTAGTACCCCCTACACCGTCCCAATCCCTACATTTCAGCTCCCTCCGTCTTCTGAGTGGTCATCTGTTGATTACACGTTATATTTACCTCTGCTGGCTCACTGCCTCGCTCAGGTTTCCGACTGGCACACCCAGTCGCCGAGTTTAAGCATACATACATACATAAATATTAAATCAAATAAATAAATCACTCGGCCCAGCGGCCCTTTCTAATCAAGTGACATCAATCAGGGAGAACTATGGGTAAAGAGGCCTTGGGGCTGACGCCTACTGAGCGCGCCCAGAGCGCTGGAGTAGCGTCTATTTGAGTCCAAGGGGGGAAATATACGCTCCATGTCCCATTATAGGAGAAGGGCTATCCTTTCGTCAGCGCGCCCATTACTCCCCCTATCATTTCCCCAAATCTAAAACCTGTTTTCAATCAACACAGCCAAACGAGTGCCTGTCCAAGAGAGGGAGAGAGAGAGAGAAAGGGAGGGAGAGAGAGCAAAGGAGAGTAGGCAGTAGATGGACAGTGAGGGTAAGGGTAGAGGCAGAGCGATGGAGGGCTCTTTCCTTCTTTCTTCCAGTGATTGGAGCGTTTTGCATTCTGTATGTGTGTGTGATTGAATCCGTCTCCTAAATTAGGGCTGTCGACGCGACGAGCTGAATGTCCTTAACCCCCCCTCCCCATAGCCAATGCCCATACTCCGCTACTCGTGTGTGTGTGTGTGTGTCACATCATTGGTGAATACTGTAAGTGTAGCCTGGGTAAAAGGTTTACGTTGAGCCATTGATTGCTAATGCTATGTTGCATGTGTATTTGTGAGGAAGCATTGTTAGGACATCAAAATTCAAACTTCAATAGCCGTTCTGGTAACTTGATTTCAGCTCCGAAAGGCGGAACTGCAGAACGATAATAACAAAATGAATAAAATATGATAGAATTTTTTTTAAAGTCACAACTCGTTTTAGAAACTTTGGAAATGAATCATGCAGCAAATAGAAAAATACTTTTAGGTACAAGTCTTACTTCTCTCATCCCCCTGTGGCAGTTTGGCTGCTGAATGGTCCCAGTCAAAGATGAACCGGTAGAAGCAGAGCTGGTTGTACAGGGCCTTCTCGGAGTACTGGAGAGAAAACACACACACACACACACACACACACACACACACACACACACACACACCAACAGGGATTAAACATGGGTGCTGTGGCAAAAACACGAGGTGAACAATCTGATGATGATATCATATTGAATGTAAAGTGTAATAATAACAGAGAAACTGTACTCCTCTGTCTTTCTCACCAGCAAAGCTCAGTGTACAAAACATTCAGCTAGTTCCTCTTGTTTTTTAGCCGACTGCTGTTTTCAGCAAGTTAAAATGACAAACGTGTACTCCGTGATTAACGCGATGGCAGGACTAAAATTATATTTTGGCTGTTCCCAGTTTGTGTGTTGGATGCAGCCTGTCAGAGTAAAAGACGCTCTGCAACACCACCGTACAACCAAAAGCAGTTTCGTAGTGAGATGACTTCTTTCTAGCCGATAGCTTCACATCAGGTTCAGGAGTCGCACTCTCACAATATTCACTCATATCACTGAAATTAGTACCTTCAGTTATGGAGCAGCTTAATAAAATGTGCCAGATTCAGAAGGCTGTATTTCTTTTATTCCAATCTGTCAGCTACATATTAAAATCAACATGTTGGTACATTCAAGTATCAAAGATCTGAACAGCCTTTTAAAATGAACACAGCGAGCTAAGAAAGGAGCTAAACTGTTTGTTTGATGCCGCTTTCACTCGTTAACAACTTCAGATATGCAACACAAGGCCAGTAGCTCGTTAAAGCTCGAATGCCGTTCATCTGGACACAAAGCTAGCAGAGGGGAGCTAACTATGTTATAATAATGCGTTAGAGCTAAAACGATTAGTCAGTTAATCAACAGCAAATGCAGATTATTCAATAATGAGAATAATCTTAATAACAGTCCACATTTGGAGTTATAATAGTACGCTTTCTCTGTTCTTCCAATTGTGCTGACATGGTGGGAAAGCAGCATTTCTCTCTCTCAAACTCTCTTTGAACAAAAACACACACCGTTATGTCACAATGTGTTGGATACAGGTAACTCATCATCCCTTTACTTCATGTGTGTTTACACAGGTTATGAATCCCCATTATGTTAGCCTTACAAGAGCGCAGATTGGAGATCGCGACAGGGCAACGGATTAATAAACCCCATTTACCAGTTTGAGAAACAGACTCTACGAAACGCGCACTCGGCACATACGACTATATTCCTCCCTGAAAACATCTCCCTTCCTCGGTGTGACACGGTAAAGCGAGAAAACAAATTTGCTTGCTTTGTTAATCTCCACTGCAATTAACTGGAGCCACACGACAGCCTGCCAGAGGGAAGGAGGGGGGGGGGAGAGAGAGAGAGAGAGAGAGAGAGAGAGAGAGGGAGAGAGAGGTGGGAGCGAAAGAGAGGGAAAAAAATGAGCAAAAGGGTAAAGACAGAACGAAGTGAGAGACGGAGAGAATCAGAGACAGTGAGGAAGAGAGAGAGAGAAAGAAAAGAGGGGATCAGGCCTGAAATACCCTCCCTCGTAATAGTTTGTTGTGATAAGCCATTGTGAGAGAGGCATGCGAACAGCCGAGGCTGTCAATTTGATTAGCCATTATACTGCATGTTTAATTGCAGTTATTGGCTCGTCATTTCCCCGCTACGCTGGAGAGGCCACGCTAAGCCCCGACCCCACACTGCCATCAGGTGTGCGCCGAGTGCTTTATTATTACCACCAGGAAGAATCCCCCGACAATTCCCGTGTGTCAGTATCTATCAGTGTGTGTGTGTGTGTGTGTGTGTGTGTGTGTGAGTGAAGTGAGTTTGTGTGCCCATTATGCCTGCCAACCGGCAATGTGCGTAATTGTAATTTCAGTTTTTACTGCTGTGGCGTAATCAAGTGGCAAGAGTATCTAATGCAACTAAAGGCAAACTATGTGAGATGTGTGTGTGTGTACATGCGTTTAATGGCTTTCTATGGCTGCCCACATGGCACACACAGCTGTTGAACATTGATGCACTGCCTAGTCAACAACCTAACCATGCCCATCCCATAATGGAGCCTCGGTTACGGTTGCCAAGGTTGAACGAGCTCGATCGGCACAAACACTAAGGCGCCAGTTCTTCCTCTCGACAATAACACACACACACACACACACACACACACACACACACACACACACACACA